GTTTTGGACTGGCGGGAGAAAACGAAGGAGGGCTTTGGGCACGGTTGACCGTCTGAGGAGGTCAGCGATGGCTTGCAGGAGCGCGGGCGACGACCGGAGGTAGGGTCGACTTGGGGTGGGTCAAGGGGAAGTGTACAGAAGGAGAAGAAGGGAGGAGCGGTGGCGCCGTTTTTCTCGATCTGGGGAGAGAAAAAAGGATCAGGAGGCACGATTCAGTTGGAATCGGCCCGAAAATTAGGGAGCTGCGAACGGAATCGAGGGTGCGGTTGTTTTCCTCATACGGGCGTGGGAACGGCAGAGTTTTTGTTCGCCCTAAACATGTTCTCTTGTTTAATAGTAGTGTAGAAAAAGAATATAATTTAGGACAAGCCTTAGGTGTCTTCTAAAGTACTCCATCCGTCTCAAAATAAGTGAGTCAACTTTGTACTAACTTTGTTACACTAACTTTGTATTAAAGTTAGTACAAAGTTGACTCACTTATTTTGGGACGGAGGGAGTATCACAGTAGAGTCTGATAAGTAGCATATCTGGTTGCTAACATCATCAGGTTCATGTAGCCCCTGCACTGTACTAGCCAGATCACTTTGCTAGCTTTATGTGTGTGAGTGAGTGAAGAATGGTAATGCTAAGCACCGTGTGGGTGACAGTCCAAGAAGAATGGTACCGCCTGCCTCCATTTAAAAGTACAATTGCTAACTACTCCTTTCGTATCAAAATATAAGACGCTTTTATAGGATAGTTTAGCCAACAAAACGTCATATATTTTGGTACTGAGGTATTAGTATAGCACAGAGATCATTTCAAACATAACCATATAAGGATAAATGGTTCTCAGATACAGGGCAGTAGCACCCCGATCACGTGATGATCCAGTTATCTCTACTATTAAAATCTACTGTTAAAGGCGAATGGGTGTGTCATTGTATATATCTAGATCCGAAAACACGCATAATCATATGCCTGCCAACGTCACATGTAAAATGCATAATCTTAAACCCGTATAAGCGATGGCATGCTCCAGAAAATTCTATTATACAACATCCTGAAAGCACAGTATAGAAAATCGATAGAGTATGCCTGGACCCATACACAAGAACACAAAGTCAGCATTGTTCCCCACCTGGCTCGTCTGCAACCGAGCAATCTGACATCCTCAACTCAGCAAATAACTCACTTGCTAAACGATCTGGACTCCAGATCACTAATTACATAACATTCTCACTAATCCACAATGAGATATGACAAAAACAGTTAGAACTGCTACTCAAGAAATGCATGCAGCTCCCTGTTCTTCTTGATGACGCCCTTGTCACTGACCATCCAAAAGCTTCCTCATACCCTCCTTCAAGGAAACATAAGAATGATTCAGGATCAGAATATTTTATTATCATTGGTCACTCAAATGTTATGTGCGTAAATCAAAATAATCAACTTTGATCCATCAACATAGTTTCTTTTATCGAAAGCTCCAGCCAGTACAGCTTAAATGTCCTCATATTGGAGACTAGCATGTTTCCATTTCATAGTTGCATTCCATTATAAAAAAACTGATCATACAAGAAGAAATGTGTGCCTGAGGAAAACTTCCATGGTTCATGCACAAGCTCAGTCATGTAAAATGGACAATCCACTTGTGTTCAAGAAAAAATCTGATCCACTAAGTAACATTCTTTTAAAAACAAGTATTAACAAACTCAAGCATAAGTTTAAGAAAAAATGATATTGTGCAAAGTATATGAAAAGAAAATTGCATACACATAACTTCAGCAAAAACAATCTCATAAGCTTGAGGTTCACAGCTCAAAGGTAGGCAGTGAAAAATTACCCAAATTTAAGAAACAGTAAGCTAGAAATCCAGGTTTTGTAATAATATTTCAGGACAATAAAGTGGTCAACATGGTAACAAGGCTAGACACTTTCAGCTCTGATACACGTTTTATACTTTTGTAGGTATTAAACACCATGTAATATTAGTCCATTAAATTGGCTACACAAGTGATTGCAAGACATCTTAAGGAAAGTAGTATTATCTAGTCACTTAACAAGTACTCCCTCCGTAAACAAATATAAGAGCGTTTAGATCTTATTATACTAATTAACACAATCCCACGATTATACAAAACAGTGCAATGCATCGTGCATATAGCGAAACTATGTAACCTCAACAAAAGCAATATACAAATCATCTAAAGGCCAAAAGGCAAACTTGCAAGGTTATCAGTGAGAGCAGGGAATATGGGCGGCCAAATCATTGTAAGAGGATGGATATCACCCAAATCCAGTTCTTCTTCTGTCATATCATACACTTTACGCAACTGCCTACACTTGACATCTAAGTGAAGTGCGCATTGGCCCATCTCCAAGAACACAAACTCAGCATAGGACCCCGCATGGTTTATCCAGAGAGGAGCAATGGGCTCATCCTCAACCTCACAACCTGGAATCCTCAAATTAGCAACCATGTCACGCAAAGAAATGGTGTCCACCAGCAACCAGTTGTCCCCCTTGTGGAGCCAGATGTCAAGCTGAAGATTCTTAGCATGGATGAGATACACATCAGAAGCATCATGAGCCGGTGCCAACATGGTATCTCTATCGCCATACTCCACCCCATGTGGGAGCTGAACCGTGGAGATGCTTGAGGTAGTCAAATCAAAGAAATCAATGCTGTTCTGTGTGCTCGCTATGTAGATTTTATTGTTGGCGAGCACAGCTTTTGGTTCCCATTCCGGATCAAGAAGTTGGTCTTTGTCGAAGGTAAGACATGTGCGCCACACACCATCACCATGTCGCAACATATTTACGTGCACCGTATATTTTGTTCTCTGCATGTTAGCCACAAGCAACACATGAAAGTAGGACACACTGTCGGCTTCTTCCACCAAGAGCATACTATAGTAATAATCGTCCTGGATTTGGATGTGTGGTAATGGTGGGACGACAGCCAGGCCTCTCTCAGGACATAATGGACTGTGCACCCGACTTGTGAAATTGTTGTCGTTGACCAGGTTGTACAAGCTGATGAGGACTCTGCCTTTCCGGGAGCAGCGGAAGTTGGCCGGGGCGCCGTGGTAGAAGCCCCAACTGTAGCTCTGCACAGTGCGGATGACGGTCGAAAGCTCTGGGGGCTGAGGTAGCATCGGGATGAAGCGAATAGAAGCCATGTTATAATCCTTCCTGTTCTCGATGTAGAAGTCGAGGAGGCGGGGTGGGTGGCGCTCGTGGAAAAGGCGGAGGAAGGCAGGTTCGGAGGCATGCTGGTACCAGCGCTTGCAGACGAGGGCGGCATGGACGAGGGTGGTTGGGAAGCCGACGCGGATGATGATCTCCCTGAGGAGGTTGTCGTCGTCGAGCACCTTGGATACCTTTTCAGCACATGCAGACATCACATAAGAATCATTCTTGGAGACCAACAAATGTTGATAACCTTCTCCAAACGCCCATGATGAGAAGTACTAACAAACAATCAAGAATAAGATGGCACGAACCTTGCTGGCGTGGTCAGTTTCTAGCATTGTATCAACACAAAATTGCTGAACCTCCTTCAGCTCCCAAGGTTTCGCTTTATCAGACTTTTCTTCTGAAATTCTTCGCTTTTTATCTACGCTTCCAAATGCTCGATCACTGCAATTCTATCATTATCATGATTAAGTTAGATGATGCTTAGATTGTTGTTGATAAGGTAAGCATGGAGGCATTAAAACATATGAAACTTGTCAAAGTATTTTTTTTCTTCTGGATCAGCATACCACTTGAGATGGCTTTGCAGGATATTTTGTGTCTAAGTCATCAGTTTGGCCAATGTTAGGAGAGATGCTCGCGACAATAGCAGGATCTGAGACCTATTAATTTAAATTATTCAGTGTTAGAAACTTCCTCAAAACTATACCCGCAACCTGTCCTGACAATAGAAGGCCGAAAAATATGTGCTTACCTTCATCTCAGAAGCTTCATATGGCGATCTGAATACTTCGGAAGGCACATTACCAAAAGCCGGTAAAGATCTGAGCCCATCAGTATTTGCAAGTATCTTAAAACCACTATCTACTGTATTAACAGCAAGCAGATTGCCTTCTTTATTGAACCTTAATCGTGGAAAGCTCTGTTAAAATTTACAGGAGGTTAGATTACCAAACGGAGAAAAAAGGTTGAAAAATAAAATAGGGAACAAAAACTCACTGGCAAGCCTCCACCAGCTTCAATGCAGGTAAGCATGTTGGTGTTATCGACATCCCAAAACATAATTTGGTTATCTTCGCCAGCAGCTAAAATGTGATTCCGAGCTGTATCAAACTGCACGACACCTTGCGCTACACCAGATGGTTTTTTACGGAATCCAGAATATGACCTCTCGACAGATCCTTCAATTTGGTTCCACTCAACTAAATGTGTGTCCCCCTCTTTGCTTGTTCCGCAAGAGAACAACCTTCAAATCGACAACAAGTAAATATTACATCAATGATAACTCATCAATGATAACTCGAAACACTTCTAGCGAGCAAAATAACACATCTATGTTTACCTAGTGCCATCGGCACTATTGAGAATTGCACCACACCATTTTCCTGGAACATCAAAGTCCAGCTTAGTTCCCAGATACTCATAAAGCCATGTCTTCATTTTCCCATCAAGGGAAATTGAGAAAATAAACTGCAGGGTACACAATAAAATTATGTATCAGTACACCAGATAAAGGCTGATGTGCTTGAAAAAACTATGCATTCATAAATCTCTCTCAGAGTACAAAATACAAGCATCGTCCTCATGATGGCTCGTACTGCCTCACTTCGATTATACTTGAGTAAACTTTTGAAGCATGGACTAACGAGCAACCATCTATATCCGTTGCATTCTGAGATGTTAATGCGTAAATATTGTGTTCAGACAGCACACACCTTAACCTCGTCTATGTGATGAGGGCAAATAGAATACACAGGTGCCTCATGCCCTTCAAACGAATATATTTTCTGCCCATGCATGTCCCAGACCTACAAAATGGGAAGGAAGTTACGGCAGACCAGGCTGGGCGAAAAGGAAATAGATGATAACCATTTAAGTCATGTCAGATACCTTTATCAGCTTGTCATCTCCGCAAGTGACAACATAAAGTTGCTTACGTGACCGAGAGAAAACTATGTCATTAACTCTTCCAGAATGAGCCTCAATCTGACATGAAGAATGAATGGGTTAGTAACAACAGTCATTTAATATAATGACATGTAACATCTATATAATTGAAGTTCAAAGGCAATTAGAAGAACAAACCTCTACAAATTGATATGTTTCATTTGGATGCCGGTATGCATGCAGATGGATCAAATGCTTTGTAAATGCAACACCTAAAAGAAAAGAAAAAGTATGCTTAAACAACAATGGAGCACCATACGAACAACATATGAATGCAATATAGAGTTACTGGGTGAAGACTGAAATATTAACACTAACCAATCAAGTCTCCATCAGGGCTCCATGTAACTCGATTAACGGCCATGGAAGAGTCTTTAGCCATGACACCCTTCTCTCATACAAGATAAAACAAGAGGCACATATATAATATCAGAACATGTAGGTTTGCAAACAAAGTACATGACTACAAGTAAAAGAAAAGAGGAGCAGATTACATACAGAAGTTTAACTTGTGCTCAGTTACCTGAAATTGTGTTGAACATGCTTGCATGTCCCAAATTTCGAAGGGCTTTGTGAGCAGCCTCTCACGCATACTGATCTCCCAGAGTGTAAATTCACCATTAGCAGATCCAACTATTTGAGCAGTAAACATGACAAGAAAATCAATTAGCTGTTGAAATCCGAACATTCACGCCCAAATCACATGAAATACCTTTTATACTTGCAAAGTTGCAACTGCATTTGTTTTTTCTGATATAGTAAATTAGCAACCTTGACCATACCTAGTAGTAGCGTATGACGAGAAGGATGAAAGTCCATGCTAGTTACATTAGATCCCTGTGATAGCGTGCAAGCTACTTTCATAGGAAGGTCATCCAGTGATCGTGAAGGTTGAGGAATATGTCCAGTGGGACTCAGTTTCTCCATCAGATGATCCGATTCTGTAATTTTATGGTCTATTATTGTTGGGCATTTTCATCAGGGAAACGGATTGATAAATAATGCAATATAACTATATAAGTATAGAACTGAGGTCACAAATCACATCGACATATATTAGGCTCCCTTTGGTTCATAGGATAGAAAAAATGCAGGAATAGGAAAACACAGGAATAAAATAGAAATCCGGTGGAGAACAAAGGAGTGAAAAACATATGAATTTTTCCAAGTTGGTCATTAGGTTTGTAGTAAAGGTAAAAAATTAACGAGTCTAACTAAAGTGAATAAATTGGCCTAACAAATTTGTGTATCGATAAACAAACTTGCCTAACAACATAATACGAACATGTCTTATTTACTCAATAAATGGACCCATCTATTTCATGTTAACCATAAATGGAAGTGGATTGAACCAAAAGAACCAACTCACGGACCCTTTGACGAAAAAAGGAAAAGAAAAAATAAACAACTCATTTAGGCACCCACACAAACAGTCAAACTAGAGCACAAGCTGGTTGTCCAAATGAGCCTCCTGTAATCGCGGTGTAGAGAAGACTTTGTATTTGTAACCATCTGTTGGTGTTTGGAACGGCTTCTAGCAACTGAGATATTGTAATTGGTACATGGTGTATATAAAGTCTCAGGAACGCCCATAACATCAACAAAGCATAGGCATAACGCTCTTGAATATATCCACACAACGATACATCAACGAAGAGATAGCCAAAATTCATTTTGGCACTGCAGTCTAAAGCAAATTTTGTAACCACGGCTCTTGCATATGACTCAACCTGGGATTGGGGCGGGTTCGCGTGGGTCCAAATGGTTGTTTTTTGTGTGGTTCTCAAACGGCAATGGTTCAAACGGGTTCAGCTAGAAAGTCATCTGGACTGGAGAGGGTTCAGTAGATTACTGACTATGTTGCGTAGATACTTTCGGAAGCACACGTATCCAGCCAGATACTGCCCCAATATGCGGATACTGCCCTGATACGTGTCCTGTAAGTATCCTTTTGTGGGCATACTGGTGCAATACATTTTGGATACTGATATGCGTGTGAGTGTGATGTGAGAATTATGAATGTGATTACCTTGTTTGTTAAGCAATTTTATTGATACATCATCCATCGAAGGAAAATGAATGAATCATTGAATGAAGAACTACAATATTTTTTGAAGACTCCATTGATTACATTGTAAGCATGATGTATCTAACCATTTCATTTGTTATTAGTATTTACTGCTGTACTAATTTACTACGTTTTGATGTAATGTTTCCATTTGGAAGGTCAGATGATCTAAAGGAAACCTGGAATATTTGCTGGAAGACTTCATCAATTCAACAAAAAGGTAACGCTTCCTATCAAAACCCCTTATTGTTTTAATTTTTAATAATTAAGATCTATATACAAACTTATCCCTGTATCCTAGTTTTTAAAGAAAAAATGATGTATCAGGTGTATCCCTTTATTGCATATCCGATACGTATCCAAGTATCCAGGCAACATAGATTAACTATCTGGTGTGCTGCGGCCTGATCCCAAACTGCACATCTGGAGATACTAAAGCTCCATTTGAGGTCATCTTGCATCAGCCTGCCGATACTATGCTAAAATGAGAAGTAGTGTGATGTTGCTACCATGCTGAAATGCAATTCTTTCACTTTGTATGGTGCTGCTATCTTGTACGGGTAACTAGTGATTCTATTGTACCTAGGAAGATAATGAAATTTCTGCTGGTATTAAATTCTGATGCACCGGATCCATCATGTGCTATTAGTTTCATGAGTTTCTAACCATGTTTTTTTCTCTAACCATCTTAAGAGACTTCCTTCCTTGCTGGCACATGTGGAATGCTGATATGTGTAGGAATAAAAGATAATTCTGTTTTCCATGTCAAGAAATAATTGTTCTTCTATGCCGAACATTTATTTTCGGCAGGTTTGTCGATTGTCAACAGATCTATGCTTACCATCATGTAGTACTATTGATTGTGGGCATGGCTAATTTGAAGATACCTTTCGCCGTCGCCGTCACTCTCTACTGCAGTGCCTTAAATCAGATTTTTATTATCGCCATATTTTTTATTATTAATACATGGAGATGCTCCAGAACACTTTCATTATATTTTTCCTTTTGTTGTGAAAATATTGTGCTGCATCTGGAAATACCATGTGAGGAAAATTTAGTATATTGCACCTTATTTTAGATTCTTCTTTTATGTGCCGTACTGCACTCAGTGAAGGGTTCATGTAGAATTATATGGAAGGGAAATGTCCACTGTATGGACAGCCATACTCATGACTCAGTTATGGAAATTATCATACGAGTTAGTTAGCTGACCAGTGTCACTCTGAGCTCTACCGTTTGGCGGGAGTCGTGCACAGCTTTGTTGGGCATCCAAGGTTTCTAAATGGAGAATAGATTGAGTTGAAATCACAAATGTGAAATGGATTGGGCGGATTGGAGTCTAGACGCTTATCAGTGGATTGAGTTGGTATGGTATGGGAGTGAGATGATTTGTACATGGGTGTGGTTTGGCTTCGGTGCAGTGCAGGCTTGTCCCCATTCCCAGGTTGACATACAATGAAATTTAGATGAGATTTTTTTCTAAAGGAAGCACAAGCATGCCTATCATATGTACATAGGAGAAAGGGTGAAGAGACCCATACACAGCTGACTTGATGTATAAATTGATGATTCCATTGCAGCTATGGAAGCTTCTGGCAAAGAGAGTGTATTTTTAGGTTCCGGGTGCCTAGACACCCTGTTATCATGACCACCCAAGCAGTACCCAGCTCCTTGAGATATGTGCGGGTCTTTGCACCACTGTTTGGATTTGCAGACTAGGTGAATAGTAAGCGCGGTAGACTGAAATTATTTGAAACGCATCTGGGCCTAGATCGCTACTGTTTATGATAGGCAGAATCCATAGCCTCTGTCACCGGCCAATACCATCGAAAGAGATGATAGACATGTCGGCCCGTTTTTCAAACCAACGACAAGACCACACCCCCAAACCTGCGTTCGTCTTCAACCCCTCGCATAGAAACACACCGCCCGGTGCCAATGGAATCCACTCAGATCGGCAGAGATGGCATCGTGGCTGGGACGCGTTGATTCCAAGTTCCAACCATGGCCATAACTCTCCGATCGAAGTAATAGAGGGACGTGCGGCTGTTCATGGTCTAGAAATTCTAGGATCAATCGTCCCTGATCTGGAAACTGAACCAAGACCCTGGTTAATTAGTATAATATGATGAGTCAGAGAGAGTAAAAGATAATTTGGTGAAGGAATCGTCTGAAAACGAGCAACAAAAACTGTTGCGAGACGTGCACTCTCTGCATGTCCTGACACCACCGCCCCCCTCGGCCATTAAAACGGCACCTCTGAGTTGTCATTTCATAAGAAGCTGATGGATCAACACAGCACATATGCTTGCATGCGTACTTCTGCAACCATAGCTCTCCTGTCAGGCCTACTCCTGCAAAGCCTATTTCCCACCCTACTCCATCCCTTCCGTCGCTGTTTGTCTCAATAAACAATCCTGACTAATCACGCGCGAATCAACCTGTGGTTGAGTTGGTTAGGTGGACAGTGGTATTCCCAACCACTAGGGTTTAAATCCTGATGTTCGCATTATTCCTGGATTTATTTCAGGATTTCCGGCGATGCGCTTTCAGTGGAAGGAGACGTTCCCCACTAGTAGAAAACAGGGCTTTGGTCCAGGCCGGGTCAGCCCATTAGTCCCGGTTCAGTCTAGAACCGGGACCAATATGGGCATTGGTCCCGGTTCGTGAGCCCAGGGGGCCGGCCGGGCCACGTGGGCCATTGGTCCCGGTTCATCTGGACCTTTTGGTCCCGGTTGGTGGGATAAACCGGGACCAATGGGCCTCGCTCCTGGCCCACCACCATTGGTCCTGGTTGGTGGCTTGAACCGGTACCAAAGGCTCCCCTTTAGTCCCGGCTCATGTCACCAACCGGGACCAATGAGGTGCCTATATATACGAGGGGGAGAGGGCTTTGTGGTGCTCTAGCTCACCTCCTATGCACATGAGGTGTTCGATGGGATGCCCGAGCCACACTACTTAAGCTTTCTCCTCTGGAAGCTCGACCTCCAAACTCCATTTTCCTCGAGATTTGTCTAGATTTAGCGGTCCGTCACGCCCCGTCCCCGTCTTCACCGCCGTCGATCACCCGCGCCGATCTCATCACCGACACCACCGTGGTGAGCCTCTTGTTCTTATCTTCTTTCTGAAAGGAAAAATATTCTTACTTGTATGTTTAGATAGATACTTGTATCATTTTCTTACATTTATTATTGCATCTTATATAGTGCGATGGTTTTGGTATCCGCCCCCGTCGGCCCTCGTCCTGTCTATGATTCGGATGTGGTATGTATATTATGTTTATAACTATTGGTTCATTTATTGTTTATGAAAATTATGCCGACCAATGTGACATAGATTTTATTTATCTAGGATGTATGTGAATCGGAAATGCCAACCGACCCTATTGTCGAGAGGTTAAATTTAGTTGAAGAAGAAAACAATTTGTTGAAGGAAAAATAAAAAAATTAAGGAGGAGAAGATGATATTGGAGTTGCATGTTGCGGATGTCGTCGATGATCACAAGATCAAGATGGATGCAATGCGCTTGAAGATTAGAAAGATTAGAAAATATGCCATTCATACCGAGGCTTGATATCATTATGTCGTTGGATCAATTGTTACCTTGGTTGCGATTATGATCGCATTTGTTTTCGCGTTGAAATGTTTTACATAGTTTCAATGTATGGTTTAATTAATTGGATGCTCTGGAGAGCTATATGTTGTTAGATGAGAACTATGTATGCACTTTGGTTTTAATGTGATGATGAACTTCTATTAATTTGAACACTTAATTATATATAATGCACGCAGATGAACCGGCAATGGATGTACGGTGACAGACACACCCGCGAGTACATTAAGGGCGTGCATGAGTTTC